AAACTTCAGTGAATTTCGAACTGAAAACTTCAAACTGTGGGCATAGATTGTTGATGTTCAACTCACCATAATTAGCGAGTTCGATCCCTACTGTTACACTCTGATGCTAATTCGTATTTAGTCGGGAGGTTAAGAATAATATTAACTTAAGCCCCAGGGATCCATCCCCACCTCCAGGCAATACCTCTCATTCAGGAGAAAGATGGATCATTACCCGGCACCTGAGGCGTACCCAAAAGGGGGAAGTGCCGAGGGGGGCTTGAGCAATTTTTCTACGCCTTTGTCTATAGGCCACGTGACGTGGGCGCCCGGGTAAATACCTACTCTGTTGTTGCTGATTGTGATTTACTAAGCATAGCTTAGGTCGAAATTAACGAGCTGATTTGAAACCAGGCGCAGCAAAATACGATGAGTTATTAAAATACCCATTCCTCACTTTCCAGCTTTTATATAGTATTCAAAAGCGCTTATGCAAGTCTTAAAGGCAACGTATTATTTTTCACTCTACAACCTCTTTGCTACAGAAGAAACATCACAAGCATGTCACTACTCTTTCGCTATTTTAAAAGCAAATGTCCTGACAAACTACATTCCTTAGTTCCCCCAGTTCAGACCTTCACAACTAAAATCCGCTATGTTAGGTACACTGGGATTAATCATCCGCATTCCTTTCGTATTCCATTGGTAAGAAGGAGGTTCAATTTGGAAAGCTTCTTCTCAAGAATCGCTACTTTGTAGAACAGACTCCCGAGGGGATGCTTATCCGATCATTACAATAACTTCTTCAACACTAGGGGCGATCATTATTTGCACTTCTTACATCCTCCGTTTACGTTCATACAACAAACTTATTCAATAACGTTCTACCTTGAGTTGCTCTTGGGCCTTGAATTGGGTTAACAGTAAGAAAAAAAGTGCCCTGAACTAAACGTAAGTACTTTTATTCGTTCAAACTAATAACACAGCAGTGAGTTCGATATCTTGTAAATAGCTACGGATTTAAATCGAAGTAAAGTAGCATGAAACCTGGTCAGTACTTTGATGGGTGACTGTTTGATAACATCAATTGTTACAGCAAACGATTTTTGGCTTTATACCAGATTAATCAAAGTTCATTAAATGAAGTAAATCTGTCCGTCACTAAATGACTTTTCATTGTTCACTCACGAGTAAATATGATTAACTAAAGCTCTGTGCACACCGGCAGCAGGCAATCCTCGGTAGTATAGTGGTAAGTATCCCCGCCTGTCACGCGGGAGACCGGGGTTCGATTCCCCGCCGGGGAGGCGTATACATTTTTTTCCCTCATTTTTCTATATGTATAGGTAGAATGATATCGACGTGGCTGTTCTCTCTGGCTATTGCTGGATGGTCCTTACAAAAAAAAAAACAAAAAAAAAACAACTTATATATTTCTGAATAAAAATCAGTACATTTTGAAATCTGTCGTCGCAATTCGTAGACACGCTCTTGTGTATGTGGGTAGCACTAGTGTGTGAATACGGAAGCAGTGTCCTTTTCTGCTTACATTACTAATGTCACGCGTTCAAAATTTATCCTAAGGAATAAAATATTACACAAAAATGATTTATCCTACAAAAGAGAATGTAAGGTATGCAGTACATCTACCAACTTCTCCATATGAGAAACTGTACACTCCGACAGCCATTTAAGAATATGACTCAATGTTTTGGTTTTGTAGCAATTTGCGGTGTTGCGTGAAACTATCTTTAATGCAGTCTATGTTAAATTTCTTTATCTTCTAAAAGTTTTATTATTTAACATACAAAATGCTCCCACTATTTTAAAAACAATTTAATGATTAAAATAACAAATACTTATTTAATAAAAAAATCAATATTGTTTTTGCATATCTTTTCTTTAACTTTTTATATACACAAGAATCCAGTTCCCAGTTCGCCTACGTTTGTGAGAACTATAAACAGATCACAAGGCCAAACACTTCAAAAATTTGGAATTTGGCTTCCGAAAGAGATATTTACGCAATTGTATGTTGCATGCTCAAGAGTAAGAAATTCTAAGATTCTATTCTGTCAAATAGGAGAAAAAAAATTCTTAAAAAATATTGTTTCCCATGGAGTCCTATAAAATTAAATTAAATTAAAGAAATTATTATTAGGGTTTTTGTCAAAGTATTTTTCAAAATAAATCAGCTTATTCAAATTTCATCGATTGGTTTGCGAAATTGAACGAAACGTAGAGTTTGTAAATCTCGACAAAAATGTTAGCGATAAATTCAACAATACCGAATTCTGTGATGATTTCATCACGCGTAGGCGTGTTGCAAAAAATTCTAGTTATATAAATTTCCGCGTATTAGAACAGTTTTAATTCTTAAAAACGACTTATATCAGCCTTCGTAATGAGCAATTTACTATATTTAATGATACACTAGACATGTTTTTCCCCAAATCCACACACACACGCACACACACACGCACACACACACACACACACACACATATATATATATATATATATATATATATATATATATATATATCCCGAGACTTACTTTTGAGGTGTCTGATAAGTTAACATTTTTCTAGTCACTGCAAATTCTCAATATTTATACCTAGCCTAACGCCATCATGCAATAATATTAAATATAAGTCATATAAGCCAGCAAACATGAAAGTTGTTAACTGAGTGGACGTCCCATTGCTTTTAGATTGACTGATTTGTTTTGTTTACGGTTTATCAATCTTTTGCAGGTTATTTAAAGCCACAAAATATTATTAGGTTCTAAGAATCATTTGGAGATAATAATAATAATAATGATTTTGCTGATACAGGTCCTACTAATTAACCCATAGCTGGGGAGAGAAGTGATGGATTCACACCTTTCCCAACTGTATTTACGTAAGTAAATACAACGAATCCGACTGAAAGGCCGCATTCATTATTCCTATGTGTCTTTAGATTTCTGTGTTATATTTTCCCTTGTCTGTTTCAGTTTCATAACTGAATTCTGCGTGTCTCATTCCATATATGCCACAGAAAAAGGTAATGAAATCAAGTGTGTGTGTGTCACTTACTAGCAAAGTTGAGTTCCACCTTAAACAAATCAGCACTTTTTTTTTCTATTCTGATTTTGTTTCACCTTCAACCAAATGTTACAAAGCCAAACGTCGATAGGTAATGGATGACGGGAGCTGGTTTTGGTGAAATTGGAAGCTTCTAGTCCTGAACCTGCTCGTTGGCGACGAATGTAGTCATCAACACCAGCATCATAAAGGAAGCGATCAGCAAAGAAGAAATTAAATTCTTGGATACGAGATAAAGCCGACGACGACGAACATTGAATGCTGAATAGTCCATTTAGAAATGAAGAAGAAACTTGAAACGATAGAGACATGGTTCTGCCTATGAATGCTAAGAAACATGGAAGTCTTAAGGAGAATAGCATCAATAAGAAAACTTACATTTATAATCAGAAAGAGACTGTTGAAATTTCTGGGACACGTACTGAAGAAAGAGGGCCTAGAGAATTTAACACTCACATGGTATAATGAAAGGTAAGAAGAGCAGGGGAAAACAGCAACTTAACGAGTTTGTGTGAATGGATCGGAAAAAAGCAAATAAGAATGATAATTAACCAAAGAGCAACAAAAGAGAGGAAGTTATGAAGAGCCATGATCCCCTATATCATGATGGGACGCGGTGCATAGAAGAGGAAGAATCTGTACTTTATTCCTATACATATACCTTTGAGATATTTGTTCAGGCTGCAATGATGAGAAATCCTTTTTCACTTTTTAAAATGTCCTTTGTATAATCATGTTCATGATTTTTCTTCTTTGATAGTTTCTATTTTTGTTTGAAATCCACTGTTACATTTTTTTTTAAATTTTCTTTTTTTCTTCTATGTTCTGTTCCTCACGATTAACACGTTGGATATTCTTTTATCACTTATCATACGAGAAGTATTCACGTTCTTTTATTTTATCTTTTCTGTGTATTTTGTAAACCCCATTTAAGCCGATTAAATACATTTTTTAATACAGATTATTCTCTTTACATATAGTCTGTCGGGAGCATCTCTAGGGCATATAACTTTATGTATAGTATTTAATTTCCTGATCTATCGATTCATCGATTTCAGTCATTTTCTTGTCCAGATTAGAAAGTCCCTCACTAGTAATATCACTCATACATTCGTCTATTATTATTATTATTATTATTATTATGTTTCGAAACAATGAAAAAAGCGATAAATCGTTATGTAATATCAATCCTCCCATATAGCAGTGAATGCTGGACAGTCTGCTCACAGATGAAGATAAAACTGGAGGCAACAGAAATGAGGGTCTACAGAAGGATAATGAGAATACCATAAACGTAGCAAGTAAGCAACGGGGAAGTCTTAAGGAAAATATAAACAAAAAGGATACGTATTGGGTTGGTGCATAATTATCAGGCGTTTTTTTTTTTAAACAATATTTATTATGAAAGAAGAAACGTAACAATTCAACAATAACATTTTTAAAAGATTATTCCGGAGCCTATGATTATCGACACACATTTTTATAACCTGAAAATGAAATATTTTATTAAAAAAAACTAAACAAAACAGCAATTTTTATTAACAAATAACCCGCCTATAAAACGCCTGATAATTATGCACCAACCCAATATATTCCGAATCAAAAAAGCAGAAGCTGAAATTTCTTGTACGCATACATAATGAGAAACAAGGGTTTATTTATTTATTTATTTGTTTGTTTGTTTGTTTTTACGGGTTATCAACCCTTTACAGGTTATTTAAAGTCATAAAATATGTTTAGATTGTGAAAATTTTTTTTTTTTGTTTTGGCAAATAATATTGATTTTATTGATACAAGTCTTACTAATTAACACATAGCTGGGAGGGAAGTGGTGGATTAATTCCTTTCCAAATGGTATTTGCGCATAAGTGAATATAAATAACCCAACTGGAATTGGAACTCAGCTCATCGATTAATAATTACATCCCCCGCAAATCCAAGATTCCCAAGCGATCACCCATCTAGGTACTGAACAAGCTACACGTACGCTCCTTAACTTCGGTGATCGTACGGGAACCGCTGTGTCAACGTGATATGGCCATAAGCCGGGTTTGGAGAATTTGACATTCACAGGACATATCGAAGGTACAAAAAACAGCAGCCCACCCACCTGACAAGCTTGTGATAACGGATGGAAGAATGGGGGTTGGAAGGCTTAGGGACGAAAGTTGCTAAGATCTACAAGGAATAGGAAATTGTGGAGAGCCATGATCGTTCACGTTCTGAAAAGACACGGCACGTGGAAGAACAAGTAATCATAGTATACGTCCGAATATAGTAAAAATAACACATCCCAATTTCTTGTTTTATAGAGATAAAACGGTTTTAGTTCTGAATGTTATTATCCTATTAGAATTGTGCTTGTCTCTCCCTTCGTTAGTTCACACTGGGGCACCCAGTGAGGATCGAACTCGCTAGTAACTGATCTAGCAAGACAAGCTTCCCAACCATTACACCACCTCGTGATGACCATGATTTTCTAAGCGTAGCGTAGATGTGGCATAAAGTATGGAGCACCCAGTGAGGATCGAACTCGCTATTCAGTCGTAACCTGTTTTAGCAAGACAAGCTTGCTAACCATTACCCCACGCCGATATTTAGTTTTCTATGTAGGACGCGATAACAGGGAAATGTGTTAAACGTTGGAGATCATTTTGAGATGATGCATATGATTAAATAAACATATTTCGAATTCCAAACGCTGGTCCCATTAAAAACAATTAAATTAAAAAAAAAAACGAAAATTAATTTTCATAATTTACATATTTTCATAAACCATACGTACACACTCATTTTAATAGCAACAAACAACATTTCCAGCAATAGATTTTAGTAGTAAAGAAAAAAAAATGCCAAAACACCCAAGAAAATTAAATTTCGGCATTAAATGACCCATTAAGGAGTTGATATGCCGTTAAACAAACAAACCAAACCGCTTGAAGATGAAACGGAACTATTGCTTTTAATTTAATTATATAATTAAATTTAAATTTTTAGCCTCCATTTTTTAAACATGGTCATTAGTGTGTAGCGAAAAAAACATTTTAAATCATTTAATTTATATTTATGCTCTGTAAATTTACCTTGAGCACTGTTTTGTAAAAATAAAAATAAAAATAAAAAATTAATAAGAACACCGGATTATATATCTTACTGTTTTCTTTTTATATATATATATATATATATATATATATATATATATATATATATATATATACACACACACACACACACACACACACACACACACACATATATATATATATATATATATATATATATATATATATAGTGGGGAAACAAATATTCGTACACATACAAAGTTTTAATTTATTGTATTTCTAACTAATGAATAAACATACTTTTCATATAATTAACTGTACACAGATGGATAATAACTAAATATGCATAGAAAACAGGAAAAAAATTAATTTAATAGAAAGTAGTCCCATTTATACATTTTAATGGATGAAAAATGTATTCGTGCAATAGAAAAAAAAGAATACATAATCTTCATTTAATACTTTGTAGAATAGCCATTATTCACTTCTACAACAACCAAACTCTTCTTGCAGTTCTAAATTAATGATTTGCAAATTTTAGTTTGTATTTTGTTCCATTCTTCCTCACATATGGTCTTCAGATCCGAGATGTTTGTTGAAGCTCTCGATTGGATTTGAATTTTCAAATAACGTCACAGATTCTCCATTGGGGGATTGTCTTCTTGGCCATTTACATTATTTTTAGAAAGCCATTTCTTCGTAGATTTTGCAGTGTGCTTAGGATCATTGTCTTGTTGGAAGATCCAGTCAGGAAGAAGTTCAAGATTTTCAACCAAAATCATTAAATTTACTTCCAAAATATTTTGATATGATGCGGCATTCATTCTACCATTTATTACTGATATGTTGCCAGTACTTTTTGCAGAAAAACATTCCCAAACCATGATGCTGCCACCACCAAATTTCACTGGTGGAACTGTGTTCTTGAAGGCATCGCCATCTTTCCTCCATATATGATTTCTAGAATTACGTCCAAACAACTCAATTTTGGTTTCGTCTGTCCATAAAATTCTCTTTCCCAATACTATTTTCCTTTATTCTTATGTTCACGAACGACCTGCCATCTCTGTTTTTTTTTTTTTTCAATAGCAGTGGAGTTTTCCGGAGCGTGACTTTAGATTGTTCCTATGAATTTCATTTCTTCTTCTGTAAAGAAAACTTACACCAGTGTTAAATGTGAAAAACTTTTACCCCCATTAATCGTGCTCATGCACGTTTGCGTTTTTGCAACGCCTAAAGAACCAGCCTGTGGTTTATACTGCACTGTGTTGAGCAGACTTTAGTCACACCTTAGTCTGGAAGAGAGACCATCATCAGGGATGATCAGCAGTTGGGACAAGGTCAGTACATTCACAACCTCGGTCACGACG